CTGGGATCATGACCTGAGCCGAAGGCAGACGCTTAACCATCTGAGCCACCCAGGTGCCCGCAAACATTTGAATTAAGTAAAAATTACTGACAATTTAAAGGCAGCAAAGTTTACTACTGCATGTTATAGTGGATGTTCTATTTTAAAAAAAAAATCATTTTCTGGAGTGCCATAGCTAGCTAGGTCAAGGATCAGAGGTCTAATTCAGCAAAGACCAGACCACAACCAGACAAATAATAAAAGCAAATTGTGACTTAAGCATCTTAAGAAAGAAAGCAACATGTAACTAGAAAAAAAGACAAAGTAGGAATGGGGTTAGCTGAAAAATAAATTGGAATAGTATAAATGTGAATTCAAAGTATTACCTTGTATAAAAGTCAGAGATTCACATAAGCCTAGGATGAGGGCCCTCATAGAACCAGGATGTTTTTGCATAAACTGAGGCAAAAAAAAAAAAGTCATATATTTTGGCTGAAGGTATTTATTACTTTAGAGACCAAAGAAAAGTAAAGCTCTAGCACATAAGACTACATATGGAAACAGAATGGAATTCAGGATGACACTTTGGATAGCTAGTTAGACCTGGACCTGGGATAGATACAAGGGATATGTGATTAAATGCATTTGTTCATTGATCAGGTAAAAATAAGCATGTGCCAGGCACTTTGGGGTGTTCTCAGACTATAGACATCATCCTTGTGTTCAAGGAGTCTAGAAAGACAAATGAACATGTCACGAAAATAATTATAATATGTCTCTGTTTCCTCATTAAAGAAATATTTATTGAACACCTACTATATGCCAGGCACCATGTTATTCCATAGGGATATAAGGTATAGTGATGAGTAAGACAGTCATGACTCTCATCTTTATAGAGCAAGGAATATAGCATGTTATCATAGAAAATTCTTGTGTATTAAAGAAGGTTCTAGAATTAAGGAGATACACATAAAACTTAGCTACTAAGCCTTAAGTGGCTTGCCTATTCAGGTCCTAAGTTTGTGTAATTTCTTACCACCAAAAGTAAAAATCCATTTACATATGCATCCATCCTTTCCTTCTTCTTTCCTGTTATAATAGAAATATCTCTAAAACTACCTTGCCAACTACTCTTGCCCACTCTTTGGAGAAAAATTAGACTCTGTTGCCATCAAGGCTATTTTGCCAAGGAATAGAAGGAAGAAGTGAGAAAAGGTCAGTGTTTGTTAGGATGTCATCACCTTGTAAAGAAACTCTAATCCTGAGCTTTTAGGGGTCATTGTTGATGTGCTGAAGAGAATAGACAATATACGAACTTTAAGTAAAAGGAGGCAATATTATCTCCCAAACTAAAAGCATGAGTATTACTAGTATGTATGTGATTTGGCTCCTCTTGGGCTTTCGGCTCTATTTAGAGTATAATTATTTGGTGTAAAAGCAAAGTATAATGATCAAAACAATAGAGTGGGGTTTCTTAAACAATCTGCTACTGCATGTTTGGGTTCTTAACTTTGGAATCAGAAGAGTTCCAGATTAGATGTATTGTATTAAGGGCAAAAGGACGGGTTAGTAGACCCATGGTACTAGTTAAAACTGGCACTTTGTAAAGATGAGATCGTGGTTGAACCCACTCATCTCTTATTAATTTGGTGATGCTACAGACCTATTTGAAGACCAGAGAAAGCCAGAGGTTTGAAGCTGTGACAGCTCAAAACTAATGAGACTGAAATTGATAGATGCTATGAGTCAGTCCTTAATTTTATTATCAATGCTTACCATAGCAGCAGGCCTCTCTGATGTGATCTGATTTGAATTCCAGTCACCACCAAAAGGCCTCCCATATACTTTTGACATCCCCAAATCCTGAGAGGTCACCTTTAAAATGAACTAACATAACAGGAAATTTTCCTCTTCATTATTAGATGGGCTCAAAACCTAGGAACATGGGGATTTAAACGGGATGGGATAGAAGAATGAGAAGGAATTTTTGGGTGGGAAGCATTGTCAAGGAAGATAAAACAGTTTACAGGGTTATAGTGGGGGGTCTTTGAACAGCATTGTCAAGTTGTAGAGTGCTAATTCAGGATGGCCAAAAGGCATCATGGAATGAAGTGGGAACTGAGAAGGGATGGCAGCTAGGAACTAGGATAAAACTACAGAAATTATTGCATCAAAAACAAACATCTGTGGTTTTGCAGGAGGTACATGATTCAAAATTTATTTTTCTCTCTGTGTTTGCAGGATAACATCCTTGCCAAATGGTATCAAAGTATGTAATTTTGCCAAAGGTATGTATACAGCATTTTCTCTCTCCTGACCTTAGGATGTCAAACAACAAACTGTTGATAATTGCTGTTTATTAGGATAGAGGGGAAATATATATCTTGTTGAACACCCCTTGAAAGGATCTTTCAAGGACATCATTAGGCAGCCCCCAAGTGGCCTATTCTCCCTGGACTTTGGGGCCAAAATGAGACAATCAAATATTTTACTCTCAATGTGGTTTGGGCATCAAGCCTGACTTTCTCCTGTAAGAATAAAAGGACATAGAAAATAATCACCATTTGAAGCCATGGAATACACAGGGGTTTACTATTATAATACCTCTATTTCAATGCTTTGGCTGGTAAATATTCTATTTTGGATTTGATGACATTTCATTGCATATCCCTTCTCTGAATATGTAGTGCATTTTTAAAGAGTGCCTGGATTGAAAATTCACTCATTGATAAGAGACTGTGAGCAGTATATTATAGGGTGCAACAATTGTATAATGTGCTCACTGTGGTGAATGTAATAAAGAAAGACTTTATAGAACTATTGCTATCTAATTATGTTTCATCAGAGCCTACAAAGTGTCTACACAGCTCTGGCTCTTATTCAGAAAAGCCAGCTAAACAGTAACAAGTGCCAAGAAAATTAAAGCCTTCTGTCTTAGGAACACACACGTGGAGCCCATATGTTGGAAAACTGGTCTGAGTTTTGTTTACCATAATCAATTACTTTGCAACACTTAAACATGGGATTTAGGAAGGATTCTGAAGCAACTAAACCAAGGATTTCTCATAAAATTTATTAGTTATATCTTTATGGAATAATATACCCAAATTTTACTTAAGAGTTTACAAGTTCAATGTTGACAGCAGTGTTTCTCTCTTTTTTGTGGATATCAAAAAGTTTTTATTTTCTTTCCAGCATTACTGAAACTTTTTAACCTCTTAATTTTTAATTGTACATTCCAATATTGCTAAAAATATGCATATTGTTGTATAGAAGATTTTTAGAACCTTTTTTCCTTGCATAACTGAGACCCATTGAACAACAGCTTTCCATTTCCCTCTTCCCACAGCCCCTGGCAACCACCAACTTACTTTCTGTTTCTATGAGTTTGATTATTAGATATCTCATAATGTCCATTGATGGACATTTAGATTTTTCCCACATCTTGGCTATTATGAATAATGCTGCTACAAATGATTATGGCTGTGCAAAAAAAATACTGTTTGAAATCCTGATTTTAATTCCTTTGGATGCATACCTAGAAGTGGATCGTATGGTAGTTCTATTTTTAATTTTTTGAGGAAACTCTATACTGGTTTCTATAGAGGCTGTACTATTTTACAATCCAACTAACAGTGTGCAAGTTTCCAATCACTAAATGTCCTCCCCAACACTTATTACTTTCTGCTTTTTTAAAAAATTGATCATCCTATGGGGAAAATCTAAGAGCTTTTCTCTTAAGGTCAAGAACAAGACACAGATGTGCATTCTCACCACTTTTATGCAGCATACTACTGGAAATCCTAGCCACAGCAATCAGACAAAAAAAGAAATAAAAAGCATCCAAATCTGCAAGGAAGAAATCAAACTTTCATTATTTGCAGATACGTGATACTCCATATAGAAAACCCAAAAGACTCCACCAAAAAGTTGCAAAAACTGATATATGAATTCAGTAAAATCACAGGATACAAAACCAAGGTACAGGTACCTGTTGCATTTCTATACACCGATAATGAAACAGCAGAAAGAGAAATTAGAAAAAAATCCCATTTATAATTACACCACAATTATAAGATACCTAGGAATAAACCTAACCAAAGAGGTGAAAGATCTGTACTCTGACAACTATAAAACACTGATGAAAGAAACTGAAGAGGACACAAAGAAATGAAAAGACATCCCATGCTCATGGATCAGAAGAATAAACATTATTAAAATGTCTGTACTACACAAAGCAATCTACAGATTTAATGCAGTCCCCATCAAAATACCAATAGCATTTTTCACAGACCTAGAACAAACAATCCAAAAGTTTTTATGGGACCACAAAAGTCTCTGAATAGCCAAAGCGATCTTGAAAAAGAAAAGAAAAGCTGGAGGCATTACAATCTGAACTTCAAGCTATATTACACAGCTGTAGTCATCAATACAGTATGGTACTGGCACAAAAATAGACACATAGATCAATGGAACAGAATAGAAAACCCAGAAATGAGCCCACAACTATATGGTTAATTAATCTTTGATTAAGCAGGAAAGAATATGCAATGAGAAAAAGTCTCTTCAACAAATGATGTTCGGAAAACCAGACAGCAACATGCAAAAGAATGAAACTGGACCATTTTCTTATACCATACACAAAAATAAATTCAAAATAAATGAATGACCTAAATGTGAGATAGGAAACCATAAAAATCCTAGAAGAGAACACAACTTTTTATTATTAAGATTATTTATTCATTTATTTGACAGAGAGCACGAGAGCAAGCACAAACAGGGGGAGAGGCAGAGGCAGAGAGAGAGGGAGAAGCAGGCTCCCCACCAAGCAGGAAGCCCAACATGGGGCTTGATCCCAGGACCCTGGGATCATGACCTGAGTCGAAGGCCAACGCTTAACCAACTGAGCCACCCAGGCGCCCCTCAGACAGTAAATTCTTCAGCATCAGCTATAGCGACATTTTTCTAGATATGCCTCCTGAGACAAGGGGAAAAAAAGCAAAAATAAACTATTGGGACTTCATCAAAATAAAAAGCTTCTGCACAGTGAAGGAAATAATCAACAAAACTAAAAGGCAACCTATGGAATGGGAAAAGATATTTGCAAATAGCATATCTGATAAAAGGTTGGTATCCAAAATATATAAAGAACTTATACAACTCTATACCAAAAAACCAAATAATTCAATTAAAAATGGGCAGAAGACATGAACGGACATTTCTTCAAAGACTTACAGATCGCCAACAGACACATCAAAAGATACTCAACATCACTTTTCATCAGGGAAATGCAAATTAAAACTACAATGAGACATCACCTCACACTTGTCAGAATGGCTAAAATCAACATGAGAAGCAACAGGTATTGGAGAGGATGTGGAGAAAAAGGAACCCTCTTACACTGTTGGTGGGAATGTAAACTTTGGTGCAGTGATTGTGGAAAACACTATGAAGTTTCCTCAAATAGTTAAAAATAGAACTACCCTACGATTTAGTAATCACACTACTGGGTATTTACACAAAGAATACAAAAACACTAATTTAAAGAGACACATGCACCCCCACATTTATAGCAGCATTATCTAAAATAGCCAGATTATGGAGACAGCCTATGTGTCCGTCCACTGATGAATAGATAAATAAGTGGTATATATACAATAGAATATTATTCAGCCATAAAAAGAATGAAATCTTGGCATTTGCAACAACATGGATGGAGCTGGAGAGTATAGTGCTAAGTGAAATAAGTCAATCAGAGAAAGATATATACCATATGATTTCACTCATATGTGGAATTTAAGAAACAAACAAGTCAAGGGAAAAAAAGACAAATCAAGAAAAAAAAAAAGACTAATATAGAACAAACTGATGGCTACCAGAAGAAGGGCAGTGTGTGATGAGTTAAAGAGGTGATGGGGATTAAGGAGTGCACTTGTTGTGATGAGCACCAGGTGATGTATAGAATTATTGAATCAGCATATTGTACACCTGAAACTAATATAACACTGTGTTAGCTGGAATTAGAATAAAAACTGAAAAAAGTGGTCATCTTTAGCATTATGCTCTAGTTCCATCCATGTCACTGCAAATGCCAAGATTTCATTCTTTTTTATGGCTGAATAATAATGCTAAGTGAAATAAGTCAGAGAAAGACAAATACCATATGATTTCACTCGTGGAATTTGAGAAACAAAACAAATGAGCAAGAAGAAAAGAGACAAACCAATAAACAGGCTTTTTAAATATTTCAATATCTTATTTAAATTCTAGTTAGTTAATGTATATAGTAAAATTGGTTTCAAGTGTAGAATTTAGTGATTCATCACTTACATATAACACCCAGTGCACATTAGAAGTGTCCTCTTTCAATACAAATCAAAACCACAATGAGGGGCACCTGGGTGGCTCAGTTGGTTGAGCGACTGCCTTCGGCTCAGGTCATGATCCTGGAGTGCCTGGATCGAGTCCCGCATTGGGCTCCCTGCTCGGC